ATAGCACATCCATATTTCTATATAGAAATTATTTGGTTCCTGACCCTGAACCTATTGTGATAGAGAGAAATTTTTATAACTAGGCTAGATGCGTACAAGTGTTGTTGTATATTAAATAATAAATCTCATACCACATTTTGTTTTTGGGAGTTTTGTTCTCATAACCAATGATTTAGCTATAATTGGAGGCATACAATTTCTGCTAAACCAACTTGGATTTAAACCAGTATTATTAAGATAAATCATCATAATTTATATTCTGGAATTGTGCTCTAATAATTTGAGCAAGCAATCTTGCAAAAATCAAACTGCAAGTTGATAACAAATGCACATGTGACCATAAAATAGATGCATCTATTAAAATCATATAATAGTAAACGGTCCACATGGCAGGCGACTGGGCCCATATATATATCACCTTTTATTCCTTCTAGAAATCAAAGGATTCAATCCCAACCTTTAACTGGTATATCATGAGAATAATCAGCACAAGAGAATTCTTGAAGAATCTTCTATTCTTCAATATATGTCAATGTAATTCATAATTAATTTTTTTGCATCATAATTGAACCGAGATGGTCAACCAGTCATGCCAATTAATATTTATTTTAGTAAACCTCTAGTTTACTTGTGGCATATGATTCCAGCATCATGCTTATATTTGTGTAGTACAAATAGAAAGAAGATCGGGTAACCTTTCATATTTACCCGGTATGATTATAGAAATATGAAGATATTCAATCTTCCTTTCATTTATAGTCTCAATATGCCAATCACTTTGACTTATATATTTGAAACTCAAAAAGTTTCTTTTGAGACTTTACAATATCAATGTCATGAATAAATTTATTCATCTGGGTATAACAAATTAGTTTTTCCGGAGTTCTTAACAACTTTTGTACAACAAGAGCTTTTATCATACCATTCATATGGTAAATGTCTCCTTCACGGAGAAAATTATATCATAATAAATTATCATGGTCAAAATCATCACAAGCAAAATCATTTCTTGCTTTAATTTTGCCTTTAATAACTTTTATAAGGCATGACAAAATAATATTTGGCATATCACATGTACGCGACCAATGACATATTCATGTAACCACACAATAATATTTATTCTCTTTATTTTACTCAACCCTCCCTTAGAGGTGAGTTGTGTGGTATTCATATGAATGGCATGTCTTTATTCATTGCTTTTATCACATATTGCCACATTCAACTTTAGGAATGGGTTTGCATTCTCAATGCTTATCACAAGTCACATTCTCTTCAAGGAATGGATCATAATCAGCGACGTGCTTTATTATTTTCATACCAATTTGATGGTAAGCATTACCTTCACATTTTGAAGGACTATTTTGAGAACCCTTATTGTTCTCCTTTTATAATCATAGTGATGATTATTATTATTTTGATATTTGGAACGCCCACGTTCATTGTTCAACCACTTGTCTTCATTGAAACTTATTATGCATTGTTATCACATTCACTTCAAGAATGGAGCAAATCAAGTGGGACAATTTTCATGCCTTTTCATGAAAAATATATTATTTTTCTTTAGTCATCATTATATCATCAATATGGTACATTGGGACTCAAACCCAATGTCTTACCAATATAAAGGCATGTTAGGCCATAATAAATTGGGACTCAAACCCAACTCTTATCATTATGGAGCATCAGGACTTGATCCCGATGTCTTATCCTCAATTAATGGCATAATAGGCTAAACAATATTGAGATTCATTCTCAAGCCTTAATTTCAATCACATGCCAAGAAAGTTATACACAACTAATTTGCAACTTAGCAAATCAAATTTGCTTTCTTAAATAAGTGTACAAATCTCAAATCAGCGTAAAGCTTTATTAATTATTTGTAGCATCTATATGAAATACAACCGTTTGTAGTCAGAATATTTTTTCTAAATTCTATTAGAGTTTAAAAGGATCATAAAATTATTGTCATAATATTTATTGAGTCTCTCTCAAAAATATTGTTATTTTCGGGGTATATCCGACCTATTGAATTTGATTTAACGCCATAACTTTCCTTCACTCAATTCAACCAAGCAATTAGTGAATAAATTTATCAAAAGTACACCATATAGGTAACAACACACATATAGTACTAATACATAAATTCAGCATTTATATTACCTGAAAAGTGACATTATAGGTAACAACTTACCAGTTGTAGCTTGTGCATCATTCATATAAAATACTTAAAAATGGTAAGTCAGTAGCAAACATCAAGTAGGTCATGGATACTCAAAAATACCTCTTCTAGTAGTCATACTAATCATTGTTTGCTTTCAAATGATACGACCATAAATTATGAAGTATACTTTCTCAATAGCTGGTTTGTTTTCCAAACTTCAAAGAAGTAATTAATCAACCTAGATAAAGATGTGAAGTATTTCTTGTTTTCTTCAAGATGATTTATGCTTTTAATCAGTATGACCAATTTTATTTTATTTTTTATTCCTTTTTTTTGGTACTATATGCAAGTGTAAAAATCCAAAAGGAAAAAAAATATTCATCCAAGTAAAAGAAAATGTTAAAAGCGGCAGGACAGATTGAAGATAGTTAACACATAAATATGCATAAGACAATTTATATAAAATATCCTTGGTTACCATGACATGCATCATATCAACAATTAACTGCTACTATGATTTTCACATATAGAACTTCGAAAATTTTATTCCATTCATGTGATATAAAAGATGTAATATTAATATGTGCTTATGCAATACAGGTGTAGTACGAAATTGTGTGCATATGAGATTTTAAAGGAATGACAAGTATAAGATAATCATACCTTCTTACATTTCATTACTTCATATGTAGTTTCTCTTTACAATTAACCATGTGATATCATATGTATGACTTCTAATTGTAATCTTTCCGGATGTAGAATTTTTTTTGTAGATATATATATATACAATTAGTTAGAGACTCGTGCTGATAATGTGTTATGAAATAAAAGCAATTTAGTAAAACATGAACAAGAAATAAAGACAATTTAGTAAAATATGAACAAGAAAGAGATAGAGAGAAAGGAAGAAATTTTCTTCTTCAATTGTGTGTATTTTCTTATCTATTACAAAGCCTTTATATAGGCATGAAAAGTGAAGAAAATATGTCATGGAATATGTCATGAACATAGAAAATATGTCATTGAATATGTCATGAACATAGAAAATATGTCATTGAATATGTCATTAACCATTTGAGAGAAAGATCATGGAGTAAGAGTAGACATCCACCGTATTTTGATTTTATCATAACAAGAAAGACTTTATTCTTCACGGGATTGGAATTCCGTTTAGTTTGAGTGGAAAAACCCAAAAAAAGCGCGAGTGGAGAACACACATAAAGGATCACGCGTGACTCGTTCCAAGAAAATAAGAGACACCAAAGAAGGTGATATAATTGAGAACAACAAGGAAAGGAAAGAAGGAAAAGAAGACGAAATTCCCGTAAAGAGAAAAAACCAAGAGGAAAGTGAAAAAGAGTTTTTCTCAAAAATGGGTATATAGAGAATTCAAGAACCCTCAGAGTTTTCTGTAATTCTTTTTTTGTTTTTGTTTGTCAAGAATGCTTAGTCCTGATTGGAGGAAAAAAAGAATGATATCATCATTGGGTGCAGCTTCATCTTCATCTTCTTCATCTTCATCTTCATCAGCAGCAGTTCGTGTTGAAAAGGCAACAAGCGAGTTCTTGATTGGTCCTGATTGGACTATTAATATTGATATTTGTGATACCATCAATTCTAACCATTGGTAATTTTTCCTCTCTTTTTTTGCATACCCTTTTTTGTATATTTTTTTGCTTTTTCTGGGAAGGGAGAAAGTTGACTTTTTTATATGGGGTTTGCTTTTTTATTTTGTTTCTTGTAATTTTATTCATGTGGGTTTTTCTTTCTGTATCTGTTTGATGGTTAATTTTGTGTGAATTTTTGCTTTTTCTTTGTTGTTGGATGGTGGGAGTGAAAAACTTGACTTTTTTCATATATATATTTTTTTTAATATTTTTTCTCGTAAGCTTCCTTCATGTGGGATTTTGGTTTTGTATTTGTTTGATGGTTAATTTTGTGTGTGTGTTTTGAAGTACTCTATGTGGGTTGTATATCTATTTTGTGTTGGTTTCTTTTAAGTCAACGGAGAAAAAAAGGTTTTTATCATCTTGCTGTTTCCTTTCTCATGTGGGTTTGCATTTTAGTATATATCTATTGATGGGTAATTCTGATTTCTGAGAATTTGAAGTCTTGTTTGGGCTTTATACAGCTAAGAACTGAACTTTATTTTAGTAAATTTATACAGTATTTTTATTTGCCCTGTCTGAGCTTTTGATAGTTAGAGAAACTTTTTTTTTTCCATACTTTTTAGGTTCTGATAGTTGTTGAATTATCCAGCTTCACCTGTGTGTACCCAAGAATTTTTAAGGGGAGCATTTTCTTAATTGTTTCTTATTCTTTTTTAGATTTTTATGGAGTCTTGAATTATTGTCTAAGAAAGGTGAATGGTCTGTATCCTGTCTTTAAGAAAGTCCTAAACTAGTTGGAATCGTCTATATGAATCGTCTGTATCCATTCTGGTCGACTCATGCCCATTTTGTTAGTACTAAAATATATTGCTTCGTCAATAATTAGTTCTTTGAACATCAAACTTATCCCCCACATAGGTATACAAGTCTCTAACCAGAACTAAAGGACTGACAAATACGTAACCCAATTATGTGGCGTATTATCATCCTTGTTTCAGCTACTGTGCAATATTCTCCATTGCTTGAAGTTGATGTAAACTCTATTCATATAGCTAGTGAAGGACAAATTAAGGTCTGATTTAACTCTCGCTACACTATACCAGGTTAGCAAAAGATGTTGTAAAAGCCGTGAAGAAGAGGTTGCAGCACAAGAACCCCAAAGTTCAGCTACTTTCTTTAACGGTAAGTTTGTTGGAACCTCCCCCTTTATATAATTTACAGTCAATTAAATTATGTTAGGGCAATATAAATAGAGCTCAACAGAATAGTATTTTTTTTTTTTTGAGAAGGTAACAAGTTTTATAAATTAAGTAGAAAAACCTTTAGCATAAAGATTATCCTAAAGGTTAAAGATAGTTACAAGACCCTCGAAAAAGAGCAAAAACGCAAACCCAGACTTGCTATTTCTTTTACTTGCTATTTATATTCAATCTCTTTTAAGGCTGTTTAGCTGCGCTTAAATTTAATGACTATTCCTTTCTTGTACTTCCCCTACAGCTTTTGGAGACAATGGTGAAGAACTGTGGCGATAATGTGCACTTTCAAATAGCTGAAAGAAGCATATTGCAAGACATGGTCAAAATTGTAAAGAAGAAGGCAAGTTTCTGTCCAAAGTACTCAGGTTCTTTCTGATTAGATGCACAGAATGTCTCAAGCTGAATTTTTATGTGATTTAGTAATATATGGATTATGGGATACTTTCTTGTTATACTTTAGTTATCACATTTTTATAACGGAACTAGAATTATTACCAATGTAATACCTTTTTAAGCTAGAAATGTGTTCTCATGCTGCTTGGGACCATTATTGAAGATTATTAGCTTTTTGGTCATTGCGATTTGTGCATTACTTGATCTCAGTTTTGAGTGTCCACTTGACCCTTACGTTTAAACTTTTTTCCTGCCACTCTTTTGNCATTTTAACTTTTTTCCTGCCACTCTTTGTATGGTTTTGCAGACAGATATGCATGTTAGAGATAAAGTACTAGTACTACTGGACTCTTGGCAAGAGGCATTTGGTGGCCCTGGAGGAAAGTATCCCCAGTACTATTGGGCTTACGAAGAATTGAGGGTTAGTAACTCGATATAAAGTTTTAGTTCAAAATCTTCTTTTATGAGTTATAGGCTTGTAATTCCACTGAGATACTCGTATGACATTGATTTGTTGGCTTGAAACATTACTTTTGATATGTATAATCTCTTTTTCCAATGATCAGTTGAGAAAGGGATTTATGCAATTCATTTCTGTGTTTTGATATTTTTAATGGAATTGTTGAGATGTTTTTGCCTTAGGTTCTTTCGTTTGTTTTTCTTTCCTATGGGGAGGGGTGGAAAATTTGGCGAACGAGTGAATGTCATGCTTAAACACTTATTGGAGAAGTTCCTTTTCTAGTAACCATTTTTGTGTCACGATCATTGCAGCGTGCTGGCGTTGAATTTCCCAAGCGTTCATTTGATACAGCTCCAATTTTTACTCCACCTGTTACTCATCCTGCACCAAGACAACCTCAACCTGGTTATGGAATGCCAAGCAATTCCTCAACAAGACTTGACGAGGCCATGGCAGCAGATATGGAAAACTTAAGGTAAGTTGACGTACGCCATGTCAGGCCTATTGATCCGATGTTGTTGCACTATATAAATTGGTTTGTTATGATTTACTTTATCATATCCTTTGTCCTAACTTTTTTACCTTGCAGCTTGTCCAGCATAAATTCTATGAAGGAAGTTGCTGATCTGTTGGCTGATATGCTACAAGCCGTGACTCCAGGCGATCGCTTGGTAAGTAACTTCTCTCACTCTTCCTTCATTCACCTCATTAATGGAACCTCTTTAATCCTTTTCTATCTTTGTTTTGTATAGGCTGTACAAGATGAAGTTATAGTTGATCTTGTCTACCAGTGTCGCTCTAACCAGAAGAAGTTGATGCAAATGTTGACCACCACCGGGTAATTCTCCATCTTTTGTTTCTTATGGTGTGTTCATGAGAAAGATATTGACGCAAATGTTAACTAGGCTGGTATTTGCTATTTCTTTTCTTTCTTTATCAGCATATTTTCATCACCTCTTAAAAGTTGCTCTGGTTTGTGTTTAGGGATGAAGAACTTCTGGCTCAGGGTCTTGAATTAAATGATAACCTCCAAATGGTGCTGGCTAAACATGACGCAATAGCTTCTGGTTCTCCACTTCCAACTGAAGTCCCAAACAACAACATCTCAGCTAGAGAAATGCATGATCCAAGCCTCAAACCTGCTGAAGTTGAGCCACCTACTCCAGCAGCAGATGCAAAACCTTCTGCACCAGTTCTTGCACCAACAGCAGGTCAAATTGATGAAGAGGAAGATGAAGAAGATGACTTTGCCCAGTTAGCTCGAAGGTAAATATACAAAACCTGCATTTACTTCCAATATAAAACAACTCATTGCTCTTATGCAGAGCTGTGGATGCATGGCAGAGATCAAGATTTTCAGGCTATTACTTTCATAGGAAGGAAATTTTTATGTAGTTGTGACCGTTATTGTACTTCTTAATTGTCGTTTTGGTTTTCCAAAAGGTTCAGATGGTTGAAGAAAGGAAGGGGGGTGGGTAGTTCTCAATATAAAGGCTAGTGACTTTTATTTGGATTTAATCACGGCAAGCCTCTTGCAGAAATGCATGGTAAGGCTGCATACATAAGATCCAATGTGGTCCGGTCCTTCCCGGACCTCGCACATAGCGGGAGCTTAGTGCACTATGTTGCCCTTAAATGTTATTGGAAGTCAAAAGTACTAACTGCGATTTATGATGTATTTACAGCTTTGGGTCTGTCTTCTCTAATGAAGTTGTCGCTTGTGCTGATGCAGACATTCAAAAACAAGTCCAGCAGCGCAAACAAGTGAAGGTATGGTCTCTGCCTATAATAGCAATTCTACGGGAGAATCATTGGATCCTGTCACAAGCAATGCATTGATTCTTCGAGATCCGCCTCCAACTGCTATGCCCACGAAAGAACAAGATATAATTGATCTCTTGAGCCTGACCTTGTCATCAAGTATATATCCCGAGACCCCACAAAATTCTGCTTCAGCCAATCATAGCACGCATCAGGAGCCTGTTGCCTCAACCACGCAAGGGAATCCATATGCATCTCAAGCTTATCTTGGATATCAAGATCAGAGCTTTAACAGTTATGTAGCTCCTTGGGCTCAGACTCAGCCCCAACCCCAACCTCAATCTCAGTCGCAACCTCAGTTTCCTCCTCAGTTTCAACCTCAGTCCCAACCTCAGTCCCAACCTCAATATCATCACCAATTTCAAACCCCAACCCAAGCGCAGTTCCAGACCCAGGCCCAGGCCCAACCTCAAGCCCAGCCTCTGCATCAACCTCATCCTCGGCCTCAACCACAGTATCCCCAAGAATCATCATTACAATCTCAGCATACCTCGCAACAGCTTCCACAATGTCCTTTACAAACTGAACTGAACCAACAACCTAGAACTCAGCTAGAACTTCATCCTCAGCCTCAACAATTACCGCCACGTGCTCAGACTCAATTCCCACAGTACTCTGCTTATCCGCCTCCACCTTGGGCATCAACTCCCGGATATTTTAGCAATCTGAATCATTCAACTAGACCGTCCTATATGTACTCAACTCCACAAAACACATCCATGCCTTTGCAAGGTCCTAGACCTGTACAGAATGTTAACTCAATTCCTACTATGGGAAGCAATGGTGTAGCTATCAATGGGGATGCACAGATTCGGCCTAGCCCCAAGACGACATCCTCTACTGCTGGACAAAAACCCTTCATTCCATCTTATAGGTTATTTGAAGATCTTAATGTTTTTGGTAACGGGGATCAAAGACACAACTCATCTTCAGGTGTATCAGGAACTAACAGCCAAAGTATGGTTGGCGGACGAAAATGACAAGTATTTGTGGCACATCTTCTATACCATGCTGTCAATATGATGTACATGAGTGGACCTTCCCCCTCCCCCTCCCCCGCCCCCTCGCCCCTCACTTTTTTTCGGGTTTTTTGAAGTTTGCAGATGGAATAGTTTTATAAGATTGATTTGATTCTGGCCATTGGCATTTTACATATTTGATGCTTATGTTATGCCACAGTTATTTTAACCCCTTAGGGTGATGAGGTTTGATATTTGTTTGTGCAATTTCCATGGAGTTGATGTTTTCCCCTCCCTTCATTGTGGATTAACTTGTGTTGGTTTTACTTGAATTCTTAACTATTTCGAGGCATGGCTATTTGCGGGCATCAAGTGTCTGTAGGCATATCAGCCATGACGGCACATAAGCGAGAATAGTCTGAAAGGATGATTATAAGGCATCATCTAGAGGGGCTGCTTTCGGCTGGTCATAACTAGAACTCTTAAGGGTTTGTTTGGAAAGCCATGTGTTACTTGGCTGTGTAATTACTAGGGTAGTAATTATACGCCCTGTATTATATAGTATAATAATTATAATGACTTGTTTGTTTGTCAAAATGTAATTTTCACCATCATGTTTGGTTGAACAAGTTTGATTACATAGCGAATAAATTTTTGTTCGCATTAACTTATCAAATATATTAAGAGTCTGGTTGAAAGTCACATAGGAATTGAATTTGGGTGTTGTTTACCTCGAAAAATGGGGGTAACAATTAAATGTGATTTGTGGTTTTAAAGATATGTGATTTATTCTAATACTGGTGAATAGACAAGTAATATTAAGTTTAAGTAAGAAGAATTGATGAATCAAATCGAGCTCGACTTTCTTGGGGGTCTCGAGGTCAACTAAGAGCAATGAAGTATGATTAATAAAGTAAAAACGATAAAGCTGAAGAACACTTGTTAAGCACGGTAAACAAGAAAAGCAGAGTAGAATATTCTATTGTAGTGAATAATGTGTTTTACAAATAATTGGGGTCCCCTTTATATGGGAGGAGAAACCCCCAATATAGTCCATTCCCCATTATGGCAAAGAATTCTAATGGTACAACTGTATAACAACCTAGTACGGATTTGTACTATTTCGTATAGATCTTATCCTATAATTCATGCCCCAACCCACGTGTCCTTGAGAAATTCCTGCTCTTTTTTGAGTGTCTTCGAGATTGTACTGCCCTCGATGAAGGTCGTCTAGGCCTTCGACCTGCTTTCTCGAGGTGTATGTCCTTCAGTCGGGTCCGACCCCTACTTCGAGTCAGCCGGACTCGGACTCATAGCCAAATTTAAGACTTCAAAATCGGGCTCCTTGATTTTGACTGTATACAGGTGTAATTGGATGTAATTACATAGTTTGACATGTTTGTCTAGCCAAGTAATTACTTGATCAACATGGAAAGTAATTGAGAGGGTATAATTGCACTTTCCAATTCTCAAGGGGGAGTGAGAATTAGTGGTAACGACACTGTGCAATTACAACGTAATGTAATTTTTCTAATTTCTTTTATTTTTCTTTTTCAAATATAGTAAGTACTATTCTTTTTTCCAAAATTTCTTTTGTATTTCTCTTATTCTCATTTTTAACCTTCCAACATGTTGCTTATATGCTTCCATATAATTTTGCAACTTCTCACACTTTGCTGCTTCTTTTTCTATTTTCTTCGTTATTCTTTGTTATTAAATACAATTTCGTATTTTACTAGCTTCATTTTCTATTCATTACCTATAAAATAATTATTAAGAAAAAAGTACCCTTTAAACTCCTATTTATCATTTTGTTATTTAAAAAGCACAACAAATCATAAATTTCATTTTACTCATACGAGTTGGTAAAATTTTCAATTTATAATTGAAACTATTATTATTATTTTAAGTTAAGATATTATCTATTTGAAAGATAGTCAAGATACCGATAATTTTTCTGATAAAAGTTACCAATTAATAATTATCTAATTTTACGTAAATATAGTTAAAATACCTTATTATAAGTAATATCCAGCATTTGTTATATATACATGTATTGATCACACATTAATGAGTTAGTAAAAAAATTAAATTGTTATTGCAATCTTGATTAATTCATCTAAGTAATTATTTATTTATTTGGAAGATACTATTTTTAAGATATTATTTATGAATTTATAATTATTTATATATTTCTATAGGTTAATTTGAAAAAAATATTTATTTAATTATGTAATTACACCTATCCAAGTAAATATGACGGTGAGAATTATACTGTAATTACGTTTTGGCAAACAAACGGGTCATTATAATTACTATACTATGTAATTACCAAGTACTTGGCATTCCAAACAGACCCTAAGTCACAGTGGTAGTTTTATTCTAACAGTGTGTAAACTGTCGCATTTTTTCAACTATTCTTAGGAAAATTTAAGGGAATATTGTCATTAACTTCTTGGAATCTTCTTAGCAAGTTGTACTTCAAGTTTGACTTCTCTTTTTCATTTCGTCATCTTTCTAGCATCTATTTTCAGCATCTCAATTATGTATGCTTCCAAAGAGCCAAACATTTGATTTGCTTATGGATAAGATTACTATGAGAGTATATATACAATTTTCATTCTCATCGTCAGCTTCCTTGAAATATGTTACAGGAGGTAGAGATTGTTTCGTAGCATCAAAGTTGCAGTGCAACAATTTTCTAAATAGTCATGCCAATCTTGGTCCAAGTGATCTTTTTGTCCTGCAATCTTTGCTTTAATGCTATTCACTATTATCCAATTTGCAACAAAATTTGCTCCATTGATTAGCAAGTCAGCTTCGTTTAAAGATTGTAACTGAAACCATGGAAGTCAAGGAATAATGCTTGCCAACAACATTATATAAATTATGGAAATAAAGAGTAGTTCATCTGTACAAATTGAACCAAGGGATGAGATGAGGAAAAAAAAAGTAGAGAGGAAATTGAACTAAAGCAGCACACCGAGAGGAAAAAAGGGGGGAGAAAATTACAAAATAGAAACAATGAATAACGGATATTTACACCTTTCTTTACCTATTTATCAAATTATTTGCTAAAGCCTCCTCCAATATGTTGAACTTTTCCCAACTTGGCACCACTCGTTGCAGAGGCTCAATGAATAAGTAGCACAAGACCTCAATGAGCTGATCAGCGTTTCACAGATGTTAACCGTCACTTTTTTTTTGGCAGCTGACCACCTCAACTTAAGTCTGTAAGCACTTTGTTTCTCAATCTTGAATGTTCTCATTGAATTATCTTGTCGGGGCAATTTCATCAGCATAGATTGAAACACAAGCATCTGCTGCTCCAGCAGCAAGCAGCACTTGATAGGGGTGGAAGGTAAGACATCTTACAGAACCTATCTTCTGAGCCATGAAGGTGGACAAATATCTTATGGTGCCTAATTGCTCACCTTCCAGGTTAAAAACTTTTATTAGCTGCTTAGCCGAACCACTTGCTATAAGGGGTGCATGACGATGAACAGCGAGAGCTGTTAGCGATCCCCTATGAGCATCAATTGTTAAGTATGCTTCCTTCAGATTTCTCATATCAAGGAACTGAATATCACCAGCTTGAGAGGCACTGACAATCTAAGAAAAAAGAAAAAAAAGTTCAGGCATTCTTTGGTTTCCAGAAAAATATATCACAAGGATAAAATATTTAACATGAAACCTAAAGGTTTTATCTTTTATTAAGAATGATTAATGGTATGCCAAAAACAAAGAGAAAAGAATTTGAAAGTGTAAATGTGACGAAGATAACAGTGATCACCTTTGCTGGTTCAAGTCCGGGTTGAAAGCCGATCCCCACAACTCTTTCCACTCTTTGGGTGTGAGGCCGTGATGCGCAAACAAGCCTAAACAAATATAATTTTAGCATTAAATGGAAACTGAGACTAGTGTTTCACGCAAAAATAACACATGCATGTAAATCCGCCTGCTAACATACAAGATGAATTACTAGAATGGTTACCCATCTTGGCGTACTGAATTTGGACTCAACAACTGTAAAATCAACGAGAAGATGGATATCTTCTAAAAAACCCTAAAATCACACTCCAAAAGACATGGTTCTCCTACACCACCCACACTCTCTCCAAATGAGACAAAACAAAACTAAAAGTTGGATAATGCAATCTCCATGACATCGCATCAATTATCCTATAGAACCTGCATAGCAAGAAAGCAGAAAAGAAAATCACACCATTTAGTAAGCTTCATACTTACAGTTCAGGCATTCGAATATCAAATAGTTTGACACATCCATCCATAAAGCCAGCAGCAAAGTGTCCCGTGTGAACTTGAGAAGCAGACTGCACAACATCAGAGAGATACAATAAGCATCCATCAGATTAGAATCTATACACTATTCAAATTCTAAGAAACCATATGCTGTCTCCCGTCCAAAAGTGCAAAACACTCACAAGCGCTGCGGAATAGAACCCGTGGATAACTGAAAGGGGGGGGGGGGGGGGGGGGGGGAGGAAAAGGCTAGAATAGAAGAAAAAGTAATGTGAAAAGACTAGAATAGAAGAAAAAGTTGTGTGTGTATATAGTGCCACGGCCACCTCCTTTCAGGAGACTAGCCATGTCTATTTACCTAAAACAGGAGCATCCTAACCTCCCTTTCATTCAAGCCTAAGCATTACAAATAAAGCTGGATGAGTTCTTCATTTCTAGCCTTATAGGTTTATTTATCTTACCATATTATAAGACAGTTCACAGTTCACAGAGTTCAAGAGGCATACACCTCTGGCCAAAACTGAATCATCGTGTATTCATGCTATGCCTTTTAGAGGCAGTATCAGCACTTGATGCTCATCTCTATCAAACTTAGCTGATAACATCAAACTAAATTTAGCATGAACTTAGAAGAATAAATCAATGCCATTCCCTGGTCCAATGTATTGCAATGGATTAGACCACTCTTTTCCACAAACCAGCTTCCAATACAACAGACCTTCCTACATAGGTATACTGTTTATATTATCTATAATAGTTAATGATTTAAAGAGTTATCATAACATCCTGCTTCAAAGTATTGTCCATGGGCACAAAAAGATTTCTATATCTTCCGGAAAAAGTTTCTGCAAAAAAATATATACTGGAAAAAAGTTTGTGCATAAAGAAAACACGTTGGATAGTCTATAGTTTTTTGAAGTCTGGAGTGCTTTGTGAGTGAGAAAAGAACCTTTGTGTGGAAACACCCTCAAAATACTTCTTCAGATAACAGCTTTTTTAAAAAAGTTTTGGGTATACTTCTTAAAACACTTTACCAAACACGTTTGGGAAACGTTCAGCAAGATTTCAGAAAATTTCCCACAAACAAATGCCACGCAAATCTTTATCCAGTACAGGCGTCACATATCAAGTGGCACATACAACTTGCCAGAGACATTTGCGCCACCAAAAATGTCTAAATAGGAATTGAAGAAACATGCGTTTTTTGGTATCTCATGCAGCATCACTATGCTGGGCAATCTATCCTAATGTTTTATCTATTATTTAAAAATTAGTGTGCACATAGAGCATTAGAATCCTAAAGGTAATTGATCATATATATTAGTTCCATAAAATCTTAGGAGAAATGCCGAAAACTCACCAATGCTGAGATGCTGCAATCTGAGGATGTTGGAATTGTATTAACAAGCTGTTCTTTATCAAGATCCCAAGCCATGATTGACGAAACTTCACCAGATGAAAACTGGTAACAAATTGAAAAGGATGTATTAGTACATAATAGCACAAATGTGAGAGACAAGGATAGTGCAGTAACTCGATGAACTATGATATGTTACATCCAAGTAAATGGGAAACAGAGCAATTGTAACACAAAAGAGTATGCTGCGTCCAAACAAATGGAAAAATTACAATTACAATCCATAGGCCTTTTTAAGAATATATCTTGTTCAGACTTTGAAGGGGATGTTTCTTTGAGTTTCTTGCTCGGGTCTTCTATGCATGATTGCACAATGGATCCCCCTTGGATGTTTTTTCTCCTAATAAACTATTTACCTATCAAAAGATCACATCTAACCAAATGGAACTGAAGGTACTTGTCCATTCATATATTAATATCTGAAATGGCTAATATTACACAGTATTACCAGATATCCAGACTGCTGCTGCCAATCCACAACAGCGTTCACACTACGCACACCAGGTCGGTGACCTTGAATGGAAGAGAATGCAGAAACTAGTCTTTGTCGCCCTCTTACAGTATAGTCTTTCCAAATCCGTATGTTCCCATCACCTTTTATGAATGAAAGTTTGTTAAGATTTTAGGCATCAATGATAAATATAAATTAAACATCTGTGGCAGCAAATCTTTACTTGAAGCAACAAGGAGCAGACTCTCATCTAGCTCATTCACAAGGCAAAGCTTTGAAATTCCTTTATCAGGGTAACCATGGTTGTCAAAGCTGTTAAGAAGGGTAGCCTCCTCGTAATTCCATATCCTGTTCACAAAGACATAAGGGGCATGATATTCTATGCATCACATACAAATACATATTTGGGAAGATAAAATTTTAGTTAATCGATGCTCTTTTACCGCATCAAAGCAACTTAATATCTCAAACTTAATGGTCAGAAACATTAAAAAGCCCGTGAATTGATACAGGTACAGCGAAGCAATGATGCCTCTGATGGAACAAATTGAAACGTCATTAACTACCCTTTGATCTATTAATTTGCTAAAACCGAACAAGAAACCTAACTCAAAACCAACTTTAAAGAGAAATTGGAAACATTNGCTTCCAGTAGGTCTTGTGTTCTTTTACAAATTTACTTGTATTCAGGAGTTCCACTTGCTATTGACTGTTTACTGACAGACTCAGTTGAAATTGCAGATAACTAAGATAGCACCTGAACCAACCTATACCTTCCAGTATTTTCAAGAACATAGTGAACAAGATATTACAGGAATAATGGCTTTTGACCTTTTGATTTTTTTTAATTTTTTTTTGGTTTCATATTGAAAAAGTAATTCGATAAGATTCTTCTACCTGATTCTTTCACTCTCATCTGCTGCAATAACGATAGGTGAGAAGGGCTGCAGCAAAGCAGTTTTGGTGCCGGTCTGGAACTTAGTATCCCAACTAGCGATTTGATTGTGTAGTTTGCTTACTGCTGAGACAGAAAAAGCATTGCTCATATTAAAATTTAGACTTCATTTTATATTAAAAAAATTGGAGAAGGACTATATGATAACAATTATGACAAACTCAAGCGAAAGAAGGAATGGAAACAAAAGGGAAAGACACGCGAACTGAAGTACACTCACAAGAATGTTGGCATTTTGCAATGAGGTCAATGGCCAACTTTTCCTTATCTTCCCTTCTAGCAATCATCTCTTCACTATCATCAGCTGCAGTAAGAAGTGGCTTTGAGAAGTGGCCACAACTCCAGTTGTAGATGGTTGATTGGGGAAGAAAACTGCGTTCTGAAGCTCCAGCAGAACCCAACAATGGGTCAGCTAATCCTGAGTCTTGAGAGTGCATAAGGTTGGGCCTGAACTCCAAAGAACAAACTCTTCGCATTCCTGTTAAGTAACTGGGCCGCGGGGGACTAACAGGAGGAGTTCTAAAAGTCAGAGGTAAATGCCCTGCAATAACAGCATATTAGAAAAAGGGTATTAAATGAGGCCAGAGTCACTTCAATAAAAAATAATAAAAATTGGACAATAATTTCCATGAAAACCCTAAAATTACCTCCATTCATGTCAAACCAAGATGAAGATCGAGCCAATCCAGCATAACCGGTGTTTGGAGCTATTGTGGATTCACCGGTTGACTTAACTGATTTGGCAACAACCTGTTCAATCCCAATAATGGAAAGGACT